TTTTTACTATATAATTAGATAAATTTACTTATTTATTTAAAATGCAGTGGGATAAGTTTATGTTGAGAAATGCAGCAATGAAGTCTGCAGAAGGAAATAGAGCAACTGTAGATTGATACATTGGCACAAATGAAGAATTTGCAGACATGCCATGTACACTGGAGTGTCTACATTTTGGTATATGCTACTTTATGGCCTGTTCTTAGACCTCTTTTGATGTAATGTTCTGAAATTATTTATTTCCTATAACCTTGAGTGTGTTAATCCTTGTCTTTAAATGAAATATTTCTCCTAGTAGCCTTTGTAGAGCTGTTTTAATGGTCTTAAATTTCTTTAATCTATATGGTTAGGGACAGCTTTTATTTCTCTTTCCATTTTAATAGATGATTTTGCTAGGTAGAATAGTCATGGTTGATAGTTGTGGGCTTTCAGAACTTGGAATACATCTTTCCTGGCCCTTCTAGCTTTGAATGTTCCTCGAATAATCAGTGTTATTATAATGGGCCTGCCTTTGTAAATGGCTCAGCCTTTCTCTCCTGCAGCTTTTAATAGCATTTCTTTATTCTCTATTTTTAAAATGTTTTAACTATAATATGTTATTGGGGGCTTCCTTTCTGGTCCTTTCTATTTGGTGTTCTGTGTGCCTCTTGCACTTGGAATGGCTTTTCTTTCTCTAGGCTAGGGAAATTTCCTTCTATGACTTTATTAGAAAATATTCTCTGTGCCTTCTCTGTGGTGTCCTCCTTCTTCTATGCCGGTAGTCTTTTCATGGTGTCCTAGAACTCTCCCACATTTACATTTCTCTCAATTTATCATTGACTTTTACTGAATTGTTAACTCCTCTGCCTTGCCTTCCATCCCTGATACTATTTTCTAAGCAATCCGTTCTGTTGATGAAGCTTTCCACTGAAGTTTTTGGTTCATTGAGTTTTTCATTTCCAGCATCATTTCAGTTTGGATTTTCTTCCGCAGTTCTATCTTCATTTTCCTAGCTTGGATGGTCTTCCTCATTTCATTCATCTTTGTTTTTGTTCTCTTGGAGTCATGCTGTCTTTGAGTGGTTTGACTATACTTATGATCATTCTTGTGAATTCTTTGTCTGGTAGTCCTTCCAAGTTATTGGATACCATTGTTGTGGGATTAGCAGTTTTTGGAAGCTTTTCATGTTATTTCTGTGCTCATACTTGGGCATCTGGAGGTAGTTCATTAATCGAGTTTTTCTTGGCTTTGTATTTTCAATTAAAAACATTCTAGTCCCCATTTTTCTTTCAGTGGTTGTATTTGTAGTCCTCATTTGAGGACTAAATTCTAGTCAGGTGGAGGTGTCGCTTCGTTCTGTGGGCAGGTATTTAGGGCGAGAGACTATCTTATCTTGAGTCTTCCTCTGAGGGTCAGCTCTGTGTCAGTGAGGGCCTCCTGCCCGGGTCTGCAGCTTTCCCTGTGAGTTACAGATCTCTCCACAGTGCTCTAATTCAGGACTGATCTGACTTCTGGGCGTGCCAGTACATGCTCCTTTAGAATCAATACTACAAAAATAATCTTGTTAGCTTAAATAAGGGAATAAGTAGACATATAATCACAATGCACACCAATCATGATTTTATATACAAATGAGCAAACAATAGTGCAGAGACGTCAATAAGCAAGTTTTAAAATGATATATCTAAGATTTAGTTGGCAAAGACCATAGCTAGCAAAAAGCTAAGTCTTCCATGCAGAAACCAGGTACACTGAACTATAGAAAAAAAAGCCATTTCTTACTGTTCCTAAGTACCAATTTTATTGTAAGATTATAAAACTACATAGGAATTTCATAAATAACTAACTGTATGAGAGTATTTCCCATCACAAACTTCCATTTTTCTTCATGTTAAAGTTATTAGTTATGATGTTGGGTTTAACCATTATAGCAATAAAAGGCAGCTATTTAGCAAAGAGGCAGGAAAAAAAAAGGATGTTGTATAAGGCATTTTTTAAGGTGCAATAAGCATTAGTGTTTTAGGAAGATGAGATTAAAAATTCCACAAGGCTAATTTGGTTCTCATTGGATAAAAAACAATGGAGTAAACACTGAGCTCTTATGTGCCAACCTAATACACACCTTGGTTGCTATATTAGTATTTTCTAGGGTAGCCTTCTGGGTACTTGAGTAGTAGTGATGGGAGGTAGGTCGAGGTGAAGGAGGATGAGGAAGAAAAGGTGATTTCTGTGTTACTGGGAATGACGTCTTTAAAAACGTTAAGAGTGTTTTAAATAATATTAATTAGATTGCTTTTCTTGTTCTACTAAATACATTAAAAAATTAGCCATATGGAATGTATATAAAAGTAGAGATCTTAGAAAATAAATATCAAATATCTGGTGTAATAAATAGTAATATAGTCAGTAATTGTAAGTCTAATGATCAGTAATACTGAAGAAATTTTGATATTACTGAAATTCAGTAATTTGTTATATAAAGATATTTAATTTTTTTAATTTCAACATTTGTTCCACTATTGGGTGGCAAATCTAACACATGCATTCTTCAGCCTAATTGTTACTTATACTCCAGTACTTTACATCCCTCTGTTGATATTTTTGCTATGCATCCCTTGAAAAGTTTTGAGAATATTTTGTACCATTTTCTGTGATAAATACTTTTCTAATAGAGTTCGTCAAAAGCAGCTCCCTATAGCTGGTAAAGCAGTCCACTGAGCCCCTTACGCTCACTCTGCCTGGTTTTCCCCTTTCATCTGAATAGGAAATGCTTGGAACGTCTTCATGTTTTCCAAACACAGCTGTCTCTGAAGCTGCTCCAATGTCTCCGAGTCACAGATGCTCCCCATTTCTACGGCTTGCCTTCCCTGGAGCGGACCTTACAAGGGATGGCTCACCTCACTGCCTTCCCTGGATGGAGCTCACACTCTCCTCTCACAAAGCCACTTGAAATTTGTGGGAAGTACTTATCTGGTCTTCTGGAGGTAAGTTAAAATGAGAACTCCCCAGATAACAGCTAGCGACTGTGCATTAATCGATTTTTATTCCATGCTAGGCACAAGTGCATTGTATGCTCCTACATTTAAGGGAGATTATAATACAGTGTATGTATAATTTATCATAATGATAAAACGTTTTGTTAATTTTCATTAACAACTATGTCAGTCATTCATAAGTATTTTCATTTTAAAGAAAAACTAAGGCTTATATTCTCTTCAATAGAGTGATTTCTTTTTATTGGCTCACCCTTTTAATTTTTCACTTTTTAATTTTCAATTTCTGTGGGGGGCTGGTATGCATGTGGGTGTATATGTGTGGGTTCACACTTGCCACAGTACACATGTGGAGGTCAGGACAACTTGAAAGCAACTGGTTCTCTCCCTGCCATGTAGAGGTCCTGTGAACTGAGCCCATTTCATCAGCTTGACAGCAGGCACCTTTACCTGCTAAGCCATCTTGTCAGCCCTATTTAGACTTTATTGAGCTATACATTTCGATTTAGGATATTTTCTATATATGCTGTATTTTACCAATTAGAGTCCATATTATCACATAATTATAGCCCTTTGTAATTACCCCCAAATCCCAAACTAGAGTCTAGCTGGTACTCTAGAAGCATTAATCACATTCACATTAATGATCTTCCTTCTCCAAAAATTCTTTCTTTCTTTTGGCATTCTTGATAGTTTTACTATTTAAATTTGTGTCTGTATATAAAAATGTCTTCTGATTTTTTTAAAAAATATTTCTGACTCATATGTGGATCATAGAACCAGACTCTGATAAATAAGTATGCAACCAGACATAACTACAGGAACCAGGATAATGGAAAGGAAACAGTGAGGTAAAGGA